GCCTTCATCATGATTTACATTCAAAGGAAAGAGAATTTGAAATCTCACAACCTATATGGTTAAATAATGAAAATACCAATGGTTGGAGAGAGGGAGTAATTAAAGAAAGAATAGGACTTTATTCTTATATTGTTGAATCTTCCGGGAAAACATTACGGAAGCATGCCGATCAGTTAAGAAATCGTTTAGTTATCCAAAATCATGAAAGTTCTTTGGAAGTTACAGAAATGGTTGTGCCAGTGAATGAAGCAAATACAAACACAAATACAAATACCACATTACGTTGCTCATCAAGAAACCGTAAACCTACAAAGAGGTTTATTGAAGAAATCTAACTTTAAATTGTTTGAAGGAAATGTAATAAATTAATAAATGATTAATTATGTATATTGTATATTAAAAATAGAATCGAACATTAGAAAAACAAAAAATAAAATTTGATATCAAAAATAAATTGAAATATAAATTAGTGGTCGTATTGTTTATAATTAGTAGTTGGTATTACTAAAGCCAGTTTTCGGTTAAAAAACGTAAGCCCATCTGAATGTCAATATAAAGATATATTTTTAACATTTTTTGGCAATAAGAATATTGAGTTGGTGGACCGTTTTTGTTATCCTGATTCGATCGAAACTTTATCTTTTAAGGAAATTAAGTCAATATGTTTTAAACTATTTAAACCGACGTCAACAGCTTTTGCTTCTAGATTTGATTTCGTTAGATTACGGAGAACAACTGAAACCATAACTGAATTTGCAAATAAAATTAGAACAATTGGAAAGCGTTGTCATTATCTTAATGATATTGACGAGCGTTTACGTGATCAGTTTATGGTTGGCATGGAAATACCGGGATTGGAAAGAGATCTTAGAGCTCTATATCCCGACGGTCTTGATAGAGATAATAATGTACTGACTTTTCAATTTATTCTTGATCTGGCATTAGCTTCTGAGCGAGCAGATAAAGAAATGGCAAATAAAAATATGCCAGTTGTTAATAAGATAAATGTTAATAACAAAAGAAATGATAATGATAATAATTATAAACATCCAATAAAAACGACGACTACAATTGATAAAGGCTATAATAAAGTCAAGTATAATAATACATTTGATAAAGAGAATAATAACTACAATAATAATAATGATAAAGATTATAATAAACTTAAATGTTATAAATGTGGTTTTATTCATAACCGAGAAGTGAGATGTCCAGCTACAAATGCGGCATGTAATAAATGTAAAAAAATTGGTCATTTTGCAGTTTGCTGTAAATCAAAGAATTTAAACTATATAAGAGTGTCATCAAGTGATTCTATTCATAATATTTGGAAGATTCAACAAAATCGAGAGAATCGAGCAAAACTAACTGCAGAGATAAATGGGTTAGATGTTGAATTTGATTTTGACACTGGTGCACAAGCGTCATTGATAGGAATTGATATATGGACAAGTATTGGGCGACCAAAAATTAGGCCAACCAGTCCATTGACTGCATATGGTGATCATCCGTTAGACGTCAAGGGCGAGACCCAAGTCAATGTTAGGATTGGATCACAGACAAGGACTCTACCAGTGGTAATAATGAATACAACTGGGGTGCCTCTTTTCGGATTACCATGGATTATAGCATTCAATTTAGAAATGCCTCGTCAGGTTATGATTAAACAAGTACGCAATTTGGTCAACAATATTGAAAAAGAAAAATGTTGCATAACACTAGATTCTAGAATTCGAGATTTGATTAATAAACACCAAGAAATTTCGGAAGAGAATCAAGATTCTAAACATGCTTTGGATATTCGAAGTATTAATTTGGATGATATGCAATTGTCAGAAAATATTCTGCGAAAAGAGTCGAAGCAAGATTTAATATTAAAAAAAGTAGCAATACATATTCAGCAAAGTTGGCGAAACTTTGATCGTCATAAAGATAAAGAAATAGTTAATTTTTATAATCGACGGGAAGAGCTTTCTGTCAATCGTAATATTATAGAATGGAATGGGAGATTGGTTATTCCTAATAAATTAAGAAATGCAGTGTTAGGAATGATTCACTGGGGACATCCTGGGGAAAATGTAATGAAATCTATTTTTAGATTGTATTGTTGGTGGCCCAGATGTGATGTTGATATAGAAAATTTTATCAAAATATGTTCTGGATGCCAGAAAAATAGACCATGGTTAGAAGTTGATCTAATGCAGAATACCTCTGCTGATGCTATGATAAAACGACTAAATAAATGGTTTTCTAGGTTTGGAATACCCAAGTACAGTGTGTCAGACAAAGGACCACATTTCTTATCAGGGGAATTCCGTAGGTATTGTGATTTAAATAACATACGTCATATACGTTCGGCACCCTATCATCCAAAAACTAATGGATTAGCTGAACGTACAGTACGAACTTTGAAAGGTCGGTATTATGCAACGAGAGATTCAATTAGCGATCCCGAAGAAGCTATGACACAGGTTTTAACAACCTACCGATTGGGAGAGCATAGTTCCACAGGGAGATCTCCTGCTAAAATTATGTTTGGGAGGCAATTGAAAACAAGTCTGGATTGGATCCGACCAAATGCCGAACACGAAATAGTAAGGGCTAATGATAAACAAAGCCTTCATCATGATTTACATTCAAAGGAAAGAGAATTTGAAATCTCACAACCTATATGGTTAAATAATGAAAATACCAATGGTTGGAGAGAGGGAGTAATTAAAGAAAGAATAGGACTTTATTCTTATATTGTTGAATCTTCCGGGAAAACATTACGGAAGCATGCCGATCAGTTAAGAAATCGTTTAGTTATCCCAAATCATGAAAGTTCTTTGGAAGTTACAGAAATGGTTGTGCCAGTGAATGAAGCAAATACAAACACAAATACAAATACCACATTACGTTGCTCATCAAGAAACCGTAAACCTACAAAGAGGTTTATTGAAGAAATCTAACTTTAAATTGTTTGAAGGAAATGTAATAAATTAATAAATGATTAATTATGTATATTGTATATTAAAAATAGAATCGAACATTCGAAAAACAAAAAATAAAATTTGATATCAAAAATAAATTGAAATATAAATTAGTGGTCATATTGTTTATAATTAGTAGTTGGTATTACTACAGAAATGATGAATAAGAAAATATCCATGAAATTGAGTTTTAAGAGAGGATTAAAGTTAAATTTTGTTTAAGAAAGAAGTTGTAATTATATTAAATGTTGATTTATATTATTTTGTTTAAATTAAGTTAATAAGATTAATATATAGAAAAAATAAATTGTTAAAGGAAATAAATATTTGAAATAAAAGATAAATAAATGATTTATAATGGTACTTGATAAACTTTATAGTAGCTTAGGTAAAGAGTTGGAGAAGATAAGAAAGAATTGAGTTATGATGAATTGATTGAGATAAATTAGTAAATAAAGAAGAGAATTTATTTCTTTGAATCTAGAAAAAATAAAAAAATTTAATGAATAAAAGTAATAACTTGACAGAGATATATTATGGGTTATGTATAATCATCAACAATTAAAAAAGAGTCTCTCTCCCAAACATCTTCCATGCATTTGAAAGAATCTACTAGAGTTTTGATTCAGAAGAGTAGAAGTCAGGCTTTTCATGTCATAAAAAATGTATGTAGTCGCAAAGTAAATATTTAAGGAATATAGTGTGCTTAAAAATGAAATTGTGAGTGATAGAAGTATTTGTAGAATTGATAGATATCTATAAAATATAAAAGATTAAATAAAAAAGTAAATAGGCCTGGGAGTTCAAACAAAGATATGGTAATCCATTATTTCTCGGAGGTGGCGATTTAACATCAGCCATTTTCCCGCAGATGAAAAAAAAAATATCAAATAATTTAATATGTGAAGTAAATATCAATTGTGTTAATAAATGAATGCAACATAAAAAAATTAGCACTATATAACAACCAGTATAATAAATAATTATCCATGTTTAACAAGTACATCTTCCCTTAAATTTTAATTTAACATGTTTAGAACCTATATTTATACCCATTTGTGTCAAAAAAATTTAACAAACTTCAAGAATATCGATTATGACAATTGTCAGTTGGTACATCTTCACTGAAGTTTGATTTAAACATGTTAGCAATACTTATTTTAGCCCATTTGCATCAAAAAAAATTTTAAAAACTTTAAAAATAACGATTATGACAATTGTCACTTTTATATGTTACTTCTTAATTGAAATTTTAATTTAACATGTTAAAAATACATATTTTTGCCCATTAGCGTCAAAAAAAATTTAAAATATTGATTATGATAATTACCAATTTTCTAAGGAACATCATTGAATTTATAATTTAACATCTTCACAATATAAATATTATTTTACCCTTTTGTGTCTAAAAGTTTCAAAAATGTTTAAAAATAACGAATATGACAATTGTCACATTAAAATACTTTACTTAAAAAGATCATATAAAAAAATAACAAAAAAAGTTTATATAAATATTTCTGAAAAAATTATTTAAAAAAAACCAATTCTTCTAATATACATAAAAATAGATAATTTTACAAAGATGATAAAAAAAAAACTATAAAAGATTTCATCTAAAGATTGTTTATTTATAAAAATATTCTCAAAAAATTTCCTCAAATACAAAGAAAATTTAAAATTCTTATCAAATATTTAAAAATATTTTTCAAAAGATTTTTTTTGCTTAAAATTTTGGGCATGATATGAAAATCACTAATAAATTGTAACAAAAATAATATTACAATAGCAGCATATCATTTTTTTATTAAATAAAACATAAATAAATAAATCTATTTTCATAATATAATATAAATTATTATGTTTAAAAAAAAATTTAAAAACAAAAAAAATATTTATATATTCTTTTAAAATATTAAAATAAATAAATTTTTTCTTCAAAATTAGACTCGAGCCAATTCCTGAGCCGTCATTGAGCCAACTTTTGAGCCGGCTAGAATTTTTCGCTCCGACCACGAGGTCGGATACGTAAAAACTCGGCTTTTTAAAAAAACTAGTCTGAACCAAGGATCTGAACCTTGGGTCTGGATCCCGGGTCTGAGCTCTATGTCTAAATCACGGGTCTGTGCTACAGGTTCTTGTCAAAGCAGGCCTAAGCACCAAATTGGGTCCTAAATTTTACGTCCAAGCAAATTAACAACAATATTAGTTCATATAATTTTTAATATATTTTATTCACAAACACGTTCATTAGTTTATACTATTCATATTTTTATACAATAGAAATACAATAAGACTATCACTCTAACAAGATATGTCTGCTTACAAGTTGGTATTATTTCGCCATCTTATTTTTAATTTAGACCTTTTATTCTTTATTATGTTATCATGCCGTATTAAAATATATGATAAAAAAGTCTATGATATTTTGAGCTTGATCGTATCAAATGTATACACAAAGGCTCATGAACGAATTTTCTTAAATAATATAAGTTTAATTATTAAAATCTGTTTATGTATATAAATTTAATTTAGATTTCAACTCTTCATTTTCATATCAAATAAGGAACTTTAGATCTTCGACCAGACTATTAAAAAAAGATTTCTATAAAATATTAGGAGTGCCTAATAATGCTTTAGAAAGAGATATTAAAAAAGCATATTATGATGTAATTTATTTTAACAGTTTTAAAAAAAGATTTTGTTATTTTTATATAAAAATTAAAAAAATTTTCAATCTCTATATTTATTTTATATTTAAAATTAGCTAGCTAAAAAATATCACCCTGACACAAATAATGATGCTAAAGCCAAAATTAAATTTCAGGAGGTATCTGAGGCATATGAAGTATATAAATAATTTATTAAATACATTGAAATTCCCATAGATTTTAAGTGATAAATCCAAACGCCAACAATATGATCAATGGGGTTCTGCAACTGATTTTGGATCTACGGATACTCACAATACAAATAATGAAACATACCCAGGATGTAAATGATTTATTTGTGCTAATTATTACCTAAATTGAAGTTGATTTTTCTCAGTTTCACTCTAATGTTGATCCTGAGGAATTATTTAGAAAGATATTTGGTAATTTTGGCAATGCTGGAACAGGGAATCAACAGAGAGGCTTTTCTTTTTCAGATTTTTCTGATAGCATATTTGGCCATGATGCATCTAATGAAGTAATTTAAATTATTCTATTACTATAGATCTTACATTAAACAAAAATATTTATAAATTTATATCTGATATTAATGCCATTTCTGCTTTTTGATTAAAAATAAAATTAGTTAGTACTTTTGAAAAATGTACAAATATTAAAAAATTTAATATAGAATAAAATTTTATTTATTTAATTAGGTAACATTAAATTTAACCTTCCAACAAGCAGCCAGAGGTGTCAATCAGGAAATATATATAAATATATTAGATACATGTCCTAAATGTAAAGGATCAAAATCAGAACCAGGCTTTAAATCAATAACTTGCCCATATTGCAATGGGTCTGGAATGGTATTTTTATTTTAATGACATTCCATTTTCATATAATATCCTTAATTTCTTCACAACTGAAATTAGACCTTTACTTTGAGGGAAAAAATATTGGTGACACATTTCACTTTAGAACTATTATTTGTGATAGATGGTGCACCAATTTTGATGTGACCTTATAAGTCACAGTTCAGCAGTGCTCTGAAATTTCCATTTAAAAATCTATTTATATTTTTCTTACCCAATCTTTAAAATTTGTTTATGAATACTAAATTTATTCATTTAAAACAACTATTTTTCAAATAAAGTTATTTTTCTAATATCAATATGATACTATAATTAAATTCCTAAAATTATAGATTATGCAAAAAAAAAATTATATTTAAATTGGAAGGACATAGTGAGGATCTTCTTGAGTTTGAGCATTTTTATTCAAGATAAGTGTTCACTATTTATTTTTTGAAATTTTAGGTCTAAAAGTATGGCCACTACCTTGTAAAAAATAATACAATTTATACAAAAAAATTAAATAGCTATCTTGATCAAATTTATTGAACATATTTTGTTTAAGGCAATATTTTTATCACAAATGGGCATGTTGCTATTTCACTGCAATATAATAAAGCTAAGTGTATGGGTCATTGATATTTTTAAACAATACTAGGAATTTGAGTATATCCATCACTAAATCACAGCCAGAACATCTTAAGATCGAGTTTCTCCATTCAATTTATCATAATATTGGTTGGGGTTTTATTAGTATCACTCACATTTTGAGCACCATCAATCATTATCATAATCATCTGGTTCAAAATACTCTTCGATGAAAGGGTCTTCATCACCCAGTCTAATATATATAATGTAAGATCTATTATCTATATAAGATCTATTGCCTCTAAACATTTTTTGTTCCCTAAATTAATTAAATCATTAAGATCAGAGGTCCTGAATCGTCATACTACTAAGTTTTATATAAGATTTTCAATTCTATCCACTGTTACAAGAGTATCTAGTTCATGTCACAAACATAGTTGATGTTCATATTCACTTAGCCGAACACTTCTGAAATTAGAACTTGCATCATGATCATTGAAATTTTCTTAGGCCTTAAATTGAACATGTATTCAACTTTATCTATTTCTGAGAGAATTTTCCTAGTATGTTTTTGGGTTACTTGATGGGTTATCAATGTATAAAATTCAATATTGAACATCATCTATTTGTTGCAATGTAAAGGGAGATATAATTCTTTCGCTTATATTTATCACACACAATGAATTGATTCTAAGCCTATTTGGGGGGTTTAGACCCCCCCCCACCATTTCTGCAGCTACCCCCCCCCCTACCCTGAAAACTTAAAATTCTTTCCTTTCCTGGTAAATATTTTTGATTTGGATAATTTTTTTAAAATAAGAATGCTACAAGTGGAAAACTTGCTTCTGTTTAAACCACTATCAGTTTAAAAAAACGCATTTATTCATGTCTGCTGAGATACTTAATACCGCCAACCACGTCCCAATGTTGTAATGATGAAAAAAAGAGAAAATTTAGCTAATTTGATGGATGAAAATGATCAAGATTCAGAATAAGGAAAACATGCCCAAGCTTCCAAAAAAAATGGTAGCTATTCTTATTTCAAATATTTTTTTGAACCAATTAATTTAAATCAGGTAATTCCAATAAGTCAACACCATTCAAACTGCTACCAATAATGGGCAAAGATCTTTAATGTTTTATAAATATGAATGGGTTGTGTTGATTAGTCTTATTTGAATATTATTTATTTTTAAAATATATTAACGTTATATCATTTGAATATCTTATATTATTTAAGTTGATTGTTTAATATGTTCAAATTAACTTTTTTTTATATATATACTATGTTTTTAGATATAAAGAAATAATATATATAATAATAAATTTGATTTAAAAAATAATTAATTTAATTAGTTTCTTTTATGGTGCCCCGGTTACGGTGGTACGTTTTTCGTTTTTCTTTCTTTTTTAAAAAAAAATAAAACAAAGTTAAATAATAAAAGTTTAAAAAAAAAATTAAAAAATATCCTTACCTTGAATTTTTTGTAAAAATAAAAAGTAAACGAATTACTTATCAAATTCGTCGTTAGATATTGGAGATGATATAAGGACATATAAAATTTTTTTGACTTTTCTTTTCGATAGTCAAAATTTTATCCAAATTTACAAAATTATAAAAGGTAAAAAAAAAATTTATTTAGAATAAATATAACTTGTTAACTTCTTGTTTCTTTTATGGCGCCCTGTTACGTTTTTATAAAAAAAAAAATAATAAAATATAGAAAATTTGCCTAAAATTAAAATAAAAAAGTATAAATTAAATTAAATTTGAAATTGATGACTACCTTATTTATTGATTTGACTACCTATTGTGACGATTGCTTAATCCATTGAGATGACTCTATTTATATGACTACCTATTTACTACCTATTGTGACGATTGTTTAATCCATTGAGATGACTCTATTTATATGACTACCTATTTACTACCTATTGTGATGACTATCTAACCTATGGAGACTTGATGCATTTTTTGCCTTCCTTATAGGAAACTTTCTCAATGGCGAAGTAACTAATATCAAAAGGGGTTTTACCAGCTAGAATAAAGCTCCTGAAAAGAGACCTTGGAAATCACGATAATTGCAGAATACATAGACATTCCATCGAAAAATAGAAATTGAATAATTTTAAAATTAACAGCACAACACATCTTTAAAAAATTGCAAAAATAATATTCATAATAAAAATAACTCTATTTAAAAATTATTTTTGAAATCATTTAACATCTTATTTTTAATGAATTGCCATTTAGTATACCAATTATTTAAATTCAAACATCATCTTAAATTTGGTGGTCTATTTGCCAATTAAATATTATTTTCTTTAAAGACCTTTTTATAGAATCTGGTAAAAATATCCCCCGAAATACAACCTATATCTCCCAATTATCAAATGATATACTCAATACCGTGTCCATTAAGTCAGGAGATGACATAGGATTATCAATAATGAGGTCCAATATTTTTATTTAAAATTGATTGTACAAGAGACTTAACACTTTAATTCTACCAATAGTGATAAGATACTTGATTGATAATCAAGTAACTGAAAATTTATTAAAGCAAGAGGCTAAAGAAATAGCATAACCTATATTCAATTGTAATATAGTTATATATAATTTTCTTAATTGCATATATTTTTTAATTGAAACCCTCACAAATCTCATATTCCATCTAATTCTATATAAACATATTTGATCATAATTATATATTTTGGATGATATTTTTCAAATAAAATAATAAATAATTTAAATATTCATTCTATTGTGCTATAAAAATTTTCTTTGCTGTCCACGTGCTAATAAATATTTGAAATAATAATAACAACTGTAATGTATAGGCATCGGCCAATTTAGCAGGCTTATTTCTTTTGTTTTGTATCGCTCAGCAAAAATAAAATTAAATGGGGAATTTATTATTCTAACCAATATTTATTTAATTTAAAGTTTGGATTGTAAGAGGTAAGGTCTTAACGTGATTGCATGAAATATCTCAAAAAATCGAATTACTCCCATGAGATTCTAATGTCAGAGAGATCCACATTACTTAAATATACTTCAAATTCTATATTTTCAATTATTAATAAAATCGACTCCTCCCCATTTTAGAGGGCTCTGAGTTAGTTGTACCTAGTAATAGTTAAGTTTTTCCAAACATCCATCTTAACGAAGATCTATTTAGGTTCACATAGAATCATAGTTTAAATTCGATTCATAAAAAATGAATGTCGGGTTAGTTTGAACTTATAAAAATCGGTTCAACAGTTTCACATCCAAACTTATTAAATTATATAGGGAATACATATAAAAAGATTTTATCACTAAAACCTACGGCGGTTAATAACTTACTAACATTGCTGTTTAAAAAAATAAATTATTTTTAAAATTTTTCACTAAATTAAGCCATTGGTCAATTTTATAATAGAATCTAAAAAAATAATAAAGTTTTAGGTTTTTAACCATAGTATATTTTACATTAATATTTTTATCACAAATTTTTCAGAAAATATTATTACAAAAATAGGAAACTATTAACACAGGCCCATTCGTTATGAGGAGCACCTGCAGGAAATGTTATGGAACAACTAAATTCACTAGTTATCCTTGTAAGGAATGTTCCGGAAAGGGTCAAAATTTGCAAAGAAAGAAAGTAATGATCCCCGTCCCTGCAGGTTCGAAATTCCTACCTTTGTTATTTTAATTTACTTATCCGAAGTTAGAATCAAAATTAAGTTCTTATATTAGGGATCTCTTATTTTCTAGAAAAAAGATCTGAAAAATAATTTTAACCCATTAGATCTCAATATGAGAATGGGTAGTTTAAAAAAATTACTTGTAAAAAAATAGATAAATTGATATTGCATGTCTAGACTCATTATTCTTCAAAATATACCTAGAATTTTTAAATAAAAAGTGTTTAAAATGTGATTTTCGATCATTTAATATTTTTTTTTACTATTACGCAATAAAATCAATTTTTTTATATGAATTTTATAGCCCTTATCAGAATCTGCAATTAATTTCCAGAAGCATTAATATAAAATATCTGTTCCAAAGTTAAAACTATGATATTATGCTTTTCTCTTTTTATAGATATAAAAATATAATGAGATCCATACAAGTGCATTAAAAGCGTTATCTGTAATTGTAGGAGAGATGTAAATATTTCTCTTTTGCCACCTGATAATTAGGATTTGTCACTGAAAGTGGGTGAGATTGACATTTTGTCAGAAACTTTAGAAGGTATCAGGTTTATCTAGCTTGATGCTTTTTCTGCAATCTTTGGCGCCTTGTTATTCATAAAGCTTATTCTTTTCACATTCGTCTTCGCCATATTTATTTTATAATTTTTAATCTCCCATGGGGCCTTTCTCACTACCTCCAACTCAATACAATTTCTTCACCCAATCATCATTGAGTTCATTATGTTCATTAAAAAACATTAATTGGTACCATTATACTATATAATATAGTTAATGTTTATATATCAGGGGTGTATCGATATCACTTTTTAAAGGCCGGACCCAATACAATATTGCCATTTTGTACATTATAACTAGTTATTTTTGCAGAAAATTAGTAACGGTAACTAACTCTTAAGTATGTATCCTTTGAGCTGTAACCAATTACTATTCAAAAGTGACTTTTAAAACACTGAACTAAGAAATATGAATTACCTAAAAATTATTATTAAGCCTTCGATTTTTGAATTTTCTTAGTATTAAACCTGGCTTGGCTGTTAAAATCTTACGAAAGTCTGCCTCACTCCGATTCTTTATAATTTTAATTTTCTGGCCATCACATTTTTAATATCTATATCTAATTTTTCCTAATGTCAATCTCCTCTTTGGCTATCTTTCTACAACAACCTCTTCATAAATCAATTGTGTTTATATAGTGTATTTGTAATTGGATCATATAAATAACTAGTTTATTTTTTATGAATTTACTTTGTTATTTTAGATTTAAGTATTTTGGTTAAACCGCTTAATACAAAGAAATTAGCATATTGCCATTTATTTTCAAACTTCGATCTCATCTATAGAAGAGCCAGATGGGGGTGAGATAGGGATTATATTTAATCTAGCTGGTGGGGTTGCTCCTTGAATCGAAGACTGTCATGTAATAGTCAAGCCATACAGCCATTTGTTCATCTTGATCTATGATCACTTTCCCATTCCTTAAGGCAATGGAGGGGAGTTTCTTAAAGCTACTAGGTTTACAAAAATATTTTAATTTTTTATATGCCTCATATATCCTATTTTCCTTCATATCTCTGTCAATGTCAAAGGCTTTCCTCGCGATATATATTCGTCTATCTCTGCGTAGTAGTTTCTGTATATCCTTCCATAGGTCGCTATTTGAGCCGTTCACACTTCTTAACAAATTTATTTTCTCTAGAGTGTCATTAGCCATCCATTCTTTCCTAGAGAAAGGAGTCGCGTTTGGCAAAACGTTGTATGATTCTGTAAGATCACTTTTAAAAAGTTTCCAACATGCTTCTACATTTTCCTGTCTTATATGGAGGGGAAATTTGGGTAGCAAAAAGATGGAAATGAGACGATTACAATCATTTATAAATAATTGTCTACGTACAATTAATGGTATTTTCTATCCAAGAGTCATATCAAACCAAAATCTCTGGAAAAAATCTAATCACACGCCAATTAATATCACTGTAAAAAAACGCCGTATCCAGTTCCTAGCTCATATAATAAGGAACTCCGACCACAATTTAGCTCATGACGCCATAGCATGGCTGTACACACATAAGGGAAAACAATATACAAAATATAAAATATAAATCCTTATAGTACTATAAAACCATAAAAGATATAATGGATTTAAATATCAATAAACAATTCATAAAACTTAATAAAAATAAAAGATCCATCAAAAAACTTTTCAGCATCAAAAAAAGTTACCTATAATGAAAACTATTTTGAAGTTCTTTGCTCACATCATTATCTAAAGGTTCCCTATCAACAATTATTCAACTTTTTTGGAAGTATTCTTTAATCCTTACTGAAACTTGTATTAAATTTGTAAAATTATTAAATTAAAAACGATCCACCGCCCACCCTTAAAGTAATTAAATTATATTTAGTTTTTGGGTATTGGCTTTTTCTTTGTCCCACTCCTTTTAAATTAAAGCCTATAGAGGTTTAAGCAACATTTTTCCAAATGTTGTGCCTAAAAGTACGTGCGGCTTGCCCACAAACGTGTGGAGGGCTCCTCATATTTTTACTTTTATACCCAAATTAAATTGTTCCAATTAGATGGAAATGAGGAAAACCTAGCGTAGCTCTGTTGAATCTTCAACGCTAGAGGGCAAAATCACTATATATCACGTATAACTTAAAATATAAATGTAGCTTGAAATTTTTATAATTTGTCAAATGCCTGGACTGGCTTATTAAATTCTACAAAACTCGGAGATTTACTAGGCTCTGTTAGATTTTTATACGAATTACCCGGCTCATTATATTTTTTTAAAAGCGGGCGTAGATTAATAATTTATTTAAATGACTAATTACTTTAAGTTTATAAATAATATTTAAGTTTTATATTGCATCTCGACGAACACTCCCCTTGTCAAAACCTTGTACAACCTATAACAGAACAAGAAATAATCACATGCCTCAAGCATATGAAAAACAACAAAGCTAGGGGTCCAGACGATATTCCAATAGAAAGCCTTAAAGCACTAGGAGATGATGGAATACATCTCCTCACAAATCTGTATAATAAAATACTTGGAAATGAAGAGGTCCCCCAAAAATGGAGGCAGAGCTATCTAGTTCCTATCTTCAAAAATAAAGGGGATCCACACAATTGTCAAAATTACAGGGGCATAAAACTAATGTCACACTGTCTAAAACTATACGAAAAAATAATAGAAAAAAGATTAAGAGATATAATCGAAATAGGAGAGACACAGTTTGGCTTTATGCCTGGAAGATCAACAACCGATGCTATCCATGCAATTAGGCAAATGAGTGAAAAATACAGGGAAAAGAACAAAAAGCTACACATGGTCTTTCTCGATCTAGAAAAGGCCTTCGATAGAATCCCAAGAAAACTTATCTGGTGGGCGCTACGCCACAAAAAAGTTCCCGAAAAATATATAAGAATAATAGAGGATATGTATATGGGACATACAACAATGGTCCGTAGCACAACAGGTACTTCAGCAGGCTTCACAATAGCCGAAGGAGTTCATCAAGGGTCGGCTCTCAGCCCACTTCTCTTCATTACAGTAATAGATGTATTAGCACAGTCTATACCTCAAACAGTCCCGTGGAATATGATATTTGCAGATGATATTGTGATACTTGCCGAATCCAAGGATGAAATGAAAGAAAGGTTAGTGAATTGGATAAATATCCTAGAAACGCACGGATTAAAAGTAAATAGAGAAAAGACGGAGTATATGGTGATAGGAGGAGATGAAACAGAGAGTATTGATATAAATGATTGGCAGATATCCGCAATTGAAAGCTGCAAATATTTGGGCTCCACTATACAAACAAACGGCACAATAGAAAAAGAGATAAAGAATAAGATTAATCAAGGGTGGTTAAAGTGGAGATCTTTATCTGGAGTGCTATTTGACAAAAGAATCCCACACAAATTAAAGGGAAAAATTTACAGTTCCATAGTACAACCAACTATTCTATATAGTTCGGAAACATGGCCAACCAAAGAATCAGACGAGAGAAGTCTACAAACTATGGAGATGAGAATGCTGAGGATGATTGCTGGGGTAACAAGAAAGGATAAGGTGCGCAGTACAAGAATACTAAATAGTTTAAAGGTAGTGCCCATTAAGACTAAGTTAATGGTAAACAGACTTAGGTGGTATGGGCACACAATGAGAAGGCCTATGAACTACATAGGAAATAAAGTTGAAAGATTGGAAGTGATGGGCAAACGTAAAAGAGGAAGGCCAAAACTTCAATGGGGCCATAAAGTTAGAGCCAATATAAAGAAGTATAAAATAGATAAAAGAGATTGTACGAATAACATAAAGTGGAGAGAGATGTTGAAGGAGCTTACCACCAGAAAAGGTGAAAGCTAAAGAGAAAAAAAAATTTAAGTTTTGAGGTGCGTATAGTTGGGGTAGGTCACAACATTCTTAGGGATGGTATATTTTTATAAATTTATTTAAAAATATTAAATGCTCATATTAAGCAAATTATTGCGAATACCCCAACTTGTCGATTTAAATTTTTTTTTTTTTAAATAATTTTTATTGATTTTGATAATAAAACCCATCCCATTTTTACTAAATCTAAAGCAAAAAATATATTTTTTGTTTTATCAGCCTATGTCTGAATATTGATTAAATTTGATATTATTTTAAACATGAATTAATTTCATATAATTTACGGAATTCAATGTATTTATATACAATTGATTCCGTAAATTATATGAATAACAATTATCATTGTAATATCCTTAATCATATGAATTAATTTTTCTACAGAATTGGTAAAGCCTATATTTTTATCTACTTTCTTTACTCACTAGTTTAGTTCTCTTAGTTATTCTAATGTGGATATTCTCATATGTTACCTTTTATCTAATTTTCATTATTTTAGCTTGAATTTTTTTTAAAATTTAATATTTTTGATTATCACAAATAAATAAAACATTGGCCCAAACGAAGATAAGACTGTATTCTAATAACGAAAAAACTATTTAACCTAATTTCGGCCAAAAATGGACATAAAATCCTTTAATTATCGAGGATGATATAATAAAATATAAAAAAAATTGTTTGCTAGTCTGGCCCAAACGACACATGTAAATTTTTAAAATTTTTAGGTCCCTCTAAAAATTCTCCTTCCTAACCTCTTCCCGTAATATTTTTTTTATGAAGGAAAAAGACATGAATAAATCCAAACTTTTTAAAGTTTACATTACAAAACAACTGCCCGGCTCGTGAATATATTTTACATGATGTTGTTAAACGGCTCGATTTTTGAAAACGGCTAACTCAATATTTTAGCTAAAAATATTGTGCAAGCCTCAAGATTTTGTTAACATTTATCCAAGTCTTTTTGATATCTATGAGAAAAATCTCCAACCTTGCATAATTTTTTTTGGCTAAAATATTGGGTTAGTCTTTTTAAAAAATCGAGCCATTTAACAACACTAATTTTACATAAGTTATCCCCCCCCTCCCGTCTAAAAATTTGCAAAATTAATTTTTTTGTCTTAACATTCTTAGGTGTTCGTTATAAAGTATTATGTTTTTAACGCTCTCCTGTAAAATTATGAGTGTAGTTAGAACTTCCTAATAATCAGGCAGAGAGTATAAATGTATGTGATATTCATAACCACAAATATTTGTCAAAACATAAATAATGGCATGTTTATTTTAAATCGCTTTATGTAAATTACAAAATAAGTTTAAATTTAACTATAATAATAAAGCGACGATACGAGAATTTATGGCCGAAATATAGATTTTTTCACTTTAACTTTCATTTAAGGCGTTGAAGATGGCCAAACTTTGCGAATGAATATCGGCAAAAAGGAAGTTTTCATCAATTTCAAGGTTATATGCAACATATGATTTACTATACACTAGGCCTATTTAAAAACGAATTGAATATGGATTATTCTTATTCGATTTGTCTAAATGAATCGAATAATTTATTATTGGTATACCTACTAATAAATTTATTATTCTTTAAAATATATAAGAAAATATATTCACAGAATTTTTTTTATTACACTATTATGTCATATAGTTGAAATTCTCATCAATAATAAGGGATTCTGAGTTGAGCTAGTTTTAATAATGATAAATGTAAATGACTATTTGTGGATATTATTATTTTTTACCTGTAATTATTCTCCCAAATTTGCAATATAAGAATGTTAAAATAAATTGACAACAGTTTACTAATATATAGAAACCTTTGAGTTATCAGTTTTAATTTTAAAGGGTATTTTATTATTTATTTAGAATTATAACCAGGGTTGCTTGACTAAAAATTTTGAATTGGGGGAGAAAATATGATTACCTTTATGCAAATAAGAGCCTCGCCCCCTATACTCTCCCTTTTTCCGAAGCATTGTTTTTAAATTTATCTCACTTAATAAGCCATCTACAAATATTTTCCCAGTCTTTATTTTAGCTACACATACTTTTTTTTCCTGATGAGTCATTCTCATTAGTATCATTGTAAATGTCCTTTTGATTTGGTGCTGATGATATATATACATTGAAATATAAAAGAAACAAAATTATTTTGTTTAAAAAGAGTTATGATAAAGTTAAATCAAGTTTTATTTTTGGCAAAATAAAAAGAATTATCATTTTTTATAATTCTAAAGAAAGAAAGAATAATGTGCAAAATGATGTTTAATTGTGTAATTTAATCAATTATTAAATATAGAGGCCCATTCCATGTCAGATCGATCAAAAAAAAACATTTTTGGTCGACCCTTATAAAATTGTTAAAAATTGCTAGGATTATTTAGATCAAGATAAGAAAGCCGTTTATTTTAGCTCATTAGCATATCTGGTTCCCTAGATTAGGGCCTCAATGGTGTGAAAAATCACGAGTTGTGCAACTGTAAAATTTTTAAATTGCTTATATTTCCCACAAATGATTTAAATCATGAATTCTATTAAAAGGAATTTAAATGAAGGAGAATATATCATCTGGAAGTTCTGAAAATTATGCCTTTGTGGTTCACTAAAAATACAATTGCCGTTCATTAATTTAGCTTATCCAATTTCTTAAGATAAAATTGAAATTCTATTCAAATTCAACAGAATTGCAATATTAAACTTAACATTTCACCTGAATATTAATACGAATCTAATAAAGTAAACCCATCTCACCTTTTTAATTGTTTTTATATGTACACATTTGTATTAAATAAAAAATAGATGAATATTTAAATATAATTTTTAAATCTTATGATTTTTATGCCTAAAAAATCATTGATGTTGAAGTTACAATTAAATTTTTTTTTAAATATAAAAAAAAATTAATTTTTGTGATTATCAAACTCTGCATTATTAGGGAAGATTTAAAATATAGCAGGTTTTCCATTCACTCTAGGGCTCAACTCAGCATATGGAAGGTACTAGAAGGAAATACACTTATACCATAAGGTGAAAACAACAACTCCCTTCTGGTCTCCATTTTACAAAGGGAAATTCAAAAATTCAATAAATATTTTTTTAACGAATTTTATTTTTATACCTTTTATCTCAACTACGATTTAGGACCAAAAGTTATAAATTTTTTAATGGTTGTAGGTAGTGTTGTTAAATGGCTCGTTTTGAGCCGATTTTTAAAAACGGCTAACTCAATATTTCGTCCAGAAAAATATTACGCAAGCGTCAAGATTTTGCTCATAGAAGGAACAAAGGTCTAGGCATATATTATCGAAATCTCGAGACTTAGGCAATATTTTTCTGGCTAAAATATTGAGTTAGCCGTTTCAAAAAATCGGCTCAAAATGAGCCGTTTAACAACACTAATTGTGGGTCATAACTCCTAATATCTGATGTAAATCTCAACCCATGTTTTTAGCTCAAGCAACAAATTAACTATAATGTGTAAATTGATGCCAATTCATGGTGCAATGGCTAACATGGCCTAAAAATATTTTTAATATTAAATTTTTTAAAAATGTTCTCTTTTTTTAGATATGCATATTTATATGGGTATCCCGTTTTTACAGAGAATCTTTTATAGAGAATGCAAATATAGAGAAAACAATTGTATAGAATGTCGTTTATATAGAATATCGTTTTTAGAGAATGTTATTATAGAGAATTTATTTTGTAGAGAAACTTTTAAAGAGAAAACAATTATGGAGAATGTCGTTTATAGAGAATTTCATTTATAGAGAATGATTTTGTAGAGAATCTCGTTTATAGAGAATGATTTTGTAGAGAATCTCGTTTATAGAGAATGATTTTATAGAGAATTTATTTTATAGAGAAACTTTTAAAGAGAAAACAATTATAGAGAATGTCGTTTATAGAGAATCTCATTTACAGAGAATGATTTTATAGAGAATCTCTTTTATAGACAATGATTTTATAGAGAATATTTTTGCAGAGAATTGTTTTACAGAGAATTGTTTTACAGAGAATTTTTTTAGTAGGAATTATTTTATAGGGAAGGATTAATAATTTTATATTGAAGAATTTTACAGAGAATGATTTTATAGAAAATGAATTATTTTAGAAATAAATTTTCTCAAATATGACCATTTACCGTCTAATTCTTTTTTTTTGGCACTTACTAAACCAGATTTAATATAATATAATTTATTAAAAATATATTTAAGGATATTTATTTGGAAAATCTACTCAATAAGAGGCTAAGGATAGTTAATCTGGAAAATCTACTCAATAAGAGGCTAAGGATATTTAATCTGGAAAATCTACTCAATAAGAGGCTTTGAGATTTTTTTTAATTTCATTGTAGAATATTTTATTATTATATATATTTGATGCGAAATATCAAATACATTTAGAAAAGGAAAACATCAAAGTAGGCTTAAGAAAAATTTCCAAAAAAGTAATGTCCTACACCATCACTTGGAAAGCAAATTAGACAAAATGTAGGGACTGGGAGCTAGGCTAATCGCCCGTCTGCGTTATGCAACACTAAGCCTAGCCTTTATTAAAATTATTTTATAAATTTATTATGTAACGATATATGACGAGTGATTAACCGAGCTCCTTAGCCTATGCCTAATTTTTGACTATTCGTTTTCGCCTATTTTTATGCTAAGCCTAATTATGCTTAGCCGATTTTTTGGCCTAAAAACTTGGCTAACCGTTTTGGAATTGCCTAAAATTAACCTATTGCGCAACATTAAGGGTGGGTATGTTACACTTATTCAGGTGGATTTCTTGCAAAATCAGATTTTTAAATTTAAAAAACGCACTCAATTAATGATTTTAAATGCAAATAACAACAAAAAATAAAACAATACCCATCAAACTATCGCCTTACCAAAATTAAGTTAAGATCACTAGAGTACTGTCTAATATTCACATGGAAGGAGGGAACACTAAGGGGTGGTTGGATCAATTTCTGCCGAAATCATCATAGGTCCGAAAATAATTGTATCTGAATTTACAAAATACAAAATGATAGTTCAAACTCTTACCTAAAAATTATACATCCACAAAATTTAAAATAATACACCCTTTTCTCTAAATTGATTTTAGTAAAATGAAAATTTCTTATTACAAGCCGTAAACTCCTTATCAGTTTAGAGAAAGATGAATCAAAAAGTTTAAAATGTTTTTTATAAATTTTTTGCACTCGTTAAACATAACGGAAATCCAAATACAAACTACCCCTTTTAATTTCAATGTCTAACTTGAATTATAACCCCTTACCCTGTGGTAAAAGGTCCTGTTTAACATTGTTTGAATGGTTAAGTGTCCTTTTATTATTGGTAGATAGATCTGGTTATAAGCAAGTATAATTATCATTAATATTTAAATTTCTTCGTATCATTAGGACTAATTATTTATTCAAACTTTTCTGTTGAAAGGGGGGGGGTGTTTTTTTCAAATCCCGCATAAAATTTTTGAACTCTATAATTGTCCCATATATAATATTTCTCTATAAAATCAAGATCTACAAATAATTCTCTACAAAATAATTCTCTACAATGTAATTTTCTACAATATAATTCTCCACAAAATAATTCTCTATTAAAGTAATTCTCTTTAAAATCATTCTCTATAAACAACATTCTCTATAAAATCATTCTCTTTGAAGCCATTCTCTATAAAGGACATTCTCTATAAAGGACATTCTCTATAAAATAATTCTCTTTAAAATCATTCTCTATAAATTACATTCTCTATAAAACCATTCTCTATAAACGGCATTTTCTATAAAACCATTCTCGATAAACGGCATTCTCTATAAAATCATTCTCTATAAGTTAATTCTCTATAAAAATTATTCTCTATATAAAACATTCTCTATAAAACATTCTCTATAAAACATTCTCTATAAAACATTTTCTATAAAACATTCTCTATAAAACATTCTCTATAAAACATTCTCTATAAAACATTCTCTATAAAACATTCTCTATAAAACATTCTCTATAAAACATTCTCTATAAAACATTCTCTATAAACTACATTCTCTATAAAACAAATCTCTATAAATGCATTCTCTATAAATGTTTCTCTATAAAATACATTCTCTATAATGGTTTCTCTATAAAGACGTGGAACCATTTATATGCATGCTTTATATATATTTTGAAAATAAAGGATTTGGATTATTATAATATAAAAACAAATTATCTAATATCGAATCGAATAATTGTTCATTCATAGAGCACGACAAAAAATTTATTATTCATATTCATTTGTATACAATTCAAATTATCAAATTATTACAAGAAAATCGAATATTCGATTCGTTTTCTTTTTTAATAGGCCTGCTATACAATAATTACTATAAGAATTACACAGTTATTCGTTCATGTGTATAATGTTCGAAGGTGGCAAAAAGCGATTATTTCAAAAGAGAAGGAGCAGACGTTCACACAGATACAATGATAAGTGTTAGTCAAGCTATTCTAGGTGGGGTAACACGGATTCAGGGGATTTACGAGGATATTGATTTAAAGGTTATTAATTATCTTTCTGCCTATCATCTCTCGTTTTTAAATCAATGTAACTATTTATTAATTAAAATATAAAATTAATTAAACGGAAACGCGAAAACATAAGGAATTAAATTTTTTATTATATTAAAAAAACGACTCGTTGCCATATGAATATATTTTTTAGATACCCGCAGGAACGTCATCCGGCCAAACAATCAGAATACCGAAAAAAGGAATGCCCAGAGTACATAGCTATGGAATGGGTGATCATTACGTTCATGTGCATATCAAAATTCCTACGTAATTGCCCTTTTATATATTTTTTTCGATTGTTCGCTAGTATTGTTAAGCAATTTTTTTTTATACTGAATGTAATAGTTTTACCCAAATTTCAATTTAAGGATTTTATATTATTTTTGTGAATAAGGGTCCTAAAATTTAAAAAAATAATTTTTTACTTTTATTTTCTAAAGATAAAAAGTTTATTCGTTATTTTCATACTAGTTTTATTATATATAATTGCCTAAATTTTAATCAATCATTAAATTAATGAATATGGGCACTTGCAAAAAGGCAATTTTTTATGCCTTGACCTTAGATATCTATGTTTAACAACGGCACCTTTAATTGATCTTAATATCAATAATATAAAATAAATATAAATTAAACAAGGCAGAACAGAAATACTTTTGTTTTCTAAACAACTGTAAATAGTTAAATATAAATTCATATTATAATCAGATATGGCAGGTCCTTTCAAAAAAAGAACTAGAAAGTATCTATATAAAAATATGTCTTAGATACATATAAACAATATGACTGAAATCTTTTGCTAAATAAGAATAACTTAGATACAAGATATTTTTATGAAAACAAATATTTGATTATTTATTAGATTAAAATAATCAAAGACGATATTGGATTTTATATAATTTATTAATATATAATAAAATATTTAATTTTAGAAAAAACTAATATTTTTGACGTTGAATCCAAATATTAATAAATCTCATTTCATTCATCATAAACATTAGGGCTGCATCGATTCAATATTTATTTCAAACGACACCGATCCGATATCGATATTTACATTTATTTTCTGTCATTATTTTATAACATAAGATAATGGTAATAAAAATCTGTGTATAGATTTTTTAAAAAGTGTTTTAATCAGAATATTCACTTATCCCAGCGCTTAAAAATAAAAAAAAGTCTAAAACTTTAAAATTCTAAAAATATATCTTTAAATTTGTAGACAGGTTTGTTATTTATAAGATACATTGTAAATAATATGGAAAATAATCATTCATATAGTATATTATTTTTTTAATGATGATATATCTTTTTTAGCCTTACTACAAATAAGTATAAATTTATATGCTGACAGACGGTTCCACGTCTTTATAGAGAAACCATTATAGAGAATGTATTTTATAGAGAAACATTTATAGAGAAAACAATTATAGAGAATGCATTTATAGAGAATTGTTTTATAGAGAATGTGATTTATAGAGAATGATTTTAAAGAGAATTATTTTATAGAGAATGTCCTTTATAGAGAATGACTTCAAAGAGAATGATTTATGAGGGTTATCTATCTTTAATGTTGGTTGTTAAGCGGCTCGATTTGTATTGATTTTTAAAAACGGCTAACTCAATATTTTGTCCAGAAAATATCCTGATGATTTAATTCATAGATGTCACAAAGGTTTCGACATCTCTTAGCAATATCTCAAGGCTTGGGCGTTTTTTTTCTGGCTAAAATATTGAGTTAGCCGTTTTTTAATATAGGCTCAAATCAAGCTGTTTAACCTTATCTATATCACCAGCTGTGCTGAAGACTAATGGAACATTTGTTGCAATTGATGTCAAATACTTGGGTGCAAGGTTTGCCAGAAGTTTTGAGCATTAACCCTCCAATAATTAAGAGAATCGATTGGGGATAAAATATTGATATCTTTATTAATTAATCAAATTTAAATTCGCATGATTTTGATAACTATAAGTTCGTTGTTAATAAAAACAATGGAATAAACAATAGACAAATAAAAAATTATCAAAAATTTTGGGTAATTTTCTATATTAGTATATACACTTTACCTCTTCTATCTTTAGAAAATGTTAAAAACATTAAACATTTTTATTTTATAAGACACTTTTATGGGAGTTATGATGATTTATTACGAGAAAGGGAAATCAGTTCAAAAATAAAATGTTTATAAAAATGTGCATAAAATCGCTATTTCTTAAATTTTAAAATATATCGCCGATCCGATATTTTTTCTAAAAGTCTATTAGTATAGTCATAATAAGTATGATCAGAGACAGATCAAAATAGTTTGGCCCAAGCCTGCCCTCTGCGCATCGGCAAATTTTTTAAAATCTAGACTCGGTCCTTGTAGCGCGATTTTTAGAAACATTTACAGTATAAATCTTAAAATCAAACGATTTTATTCTATTTTTTTATGTTATGCATTCAGAACTTTGATAATATAATGATATTGCCTATTTTGTTCTATTTATTACAAGTTATTATATGAAAATGAATAAGACTTTAAATTCATTTTATATTAGTGATATTCAATCAGCTAAAAAAGGAAGGAAATATAATACGCGATAAGAACCGGGCCTATATTTTATTCACTTTACCACCGATTCGACGCGGACCTGTCTAACGGGCTGGCCAGACTAATATGATTGAATTCTTCAAATCATGATTGACACAGAATCGATAATCGCTTAGCCACCCATTTGCGATAAAGTAATGTGTGACCCGACATTAATAATAGATTAATGTAATAAAGTAATTTACAGATGTATGTACAGAAGATATACGATATATATATGTTGACTACTTCAACGAGCTGAAAGAAATAAATGACATCAAATTCTGCGAATCATTATTACAATGGAACTTATTTTTTAAATGTCTATACATAGTATCACGACGACTAGATGCTAAAATATTCTAATAATATTTTACTCTATTTTTATATAACTATATATAAAATTAATAACCAGGATAGGCAGAGTTCATCATTATTAAAAAAAATTTTAAACAAAAACAGCAATTAACATCAACCAACAAGTAATCCCATAATGTTGAACAATGAAATATAAATGCCTATATTTTATTCTCCCTATACAAAATGATTATTATTTGAATACTAAGAATAGCATTAGAAAGACAGGCTAGTACTTTTTATGTAGTTAAAATATCTAATTTACAATCATTTCATCCATATTCCAATGAAAAGTTGAATTCATTTTTCATTTAAAAAAATCTCAGTTGAAACTTCCTTTACAATTTATATTAAATACTACATGATTCATTCCCCTTTTCTTTTATAATAATCCAAAATTTTAAATATTAAATTATTTCAGACGTTTATCTGCTCAACAAAAAGCTCTTATTAGAGCCTACGCTGAAATCGAATCGGATACACCTGGTACTATCAAAGATTTTACGAAAACTAAAACAGGTTAAAAAATTAATTAATTTTTTTAGATTTGTATCCTTATAATAATTTTTTTTATTAATAATTCTATTTTTTCTTCAAATTACATTAAAATTAACAGGTTAAAAAATTTTATTAAAAAATACTAAAAAACATATTATCTATAATGTATAAAATTCAATTAGATCGGCAAATTTCAATAGATATTATTTGACGTAAATAAAAACACTTGGATCACCTGTAATTAAATTTAAACATAACTTTTGTCCTTTTGTTTTGAATAATTAAAACACGGATGTCTGAAACTACCAGAACGGACAATAGAGAAATGAGATTATCTACACATATCTTCTATCAGGTTTAACATACGAAAGTTGGAAAAATAATAATATAGGCTTAGAACAACCCCCCTAAATAAATGGAAAAATATTAGACTACATATGATTGTAGATGTGATAATATCAGTATAACACAATCCATGGACATATTGAATGTTTATTATATAAAAACAAGTAATAGAAAATTATCTATTTAATAAATTAATTAAGCAATTATGATCCAATCTCTTAACCTCAAAATATATGATATTTAAGCCCAAAAATACAAAATAAACGTATTTTCTTAATTTCAAATTATAATCGATAGGATTAGAGAATATTTTTTTAATCATTTATAGTAGATACAACTCAAGATATCACAAAAACAGATTAATTAATTTTTTCCCAGATATCAATTATCAATGACGAAAATAAACATAATATTAATTTGAATTATTCTTGATATTTCATCAAATTCTTGAAAATATAAGAATCTATAAAATCATAAAAAATTCCATTAAATATGTATTAATATGAATAAATGTATATGTATGATTATACTCTGGACAGAAATGGGCAAAATTACTCAAAAAATAAAATTAATTAATTACTTACAAAATTATGTAATTAATTACTTAATACATATAATGGTGATTTATATAGAGGAATTAGATTTGATAAAATATATTTAGAAAAATAGCGAGAAATTTTATTAACGGCATATAGTGTGATTTACTTATAATAATATTTTAAACATTATAATTTATTTCATATTTTTAGGGGCAGAGCGCCCTTCTTACGAAGCTTTGAATACTATTTAAAGAACTTGCCACTTGTCTTCCCTGACAGCCACTTTTGTTTTTGAATATTTTATTTTTCCGAAAATACGATCAGAATTTTAGACCGGGTTCGGTTCAGTGCAAAAAGGTGGGTTCCGTTTGGAACCTCTTCCTGAATCCTTGTTCGTGGTTTTAGGTTCGGGTTTGCATTTAAAAAACTAGAGACTTTGTTCTTAACATTAAATACATGACTAGAAACTGCTTTTATGGCAGTATATAAAAATTAATTTTCATTTTATTTTATACACGCTAATTATAGCATAAATAAATATTATTATAAATTGTTTAGATTTTATTGATAATAATAATATATTTTAAAAAATTTTAATTTAATATATTCTCCGTCATCTTAGAATGTTAAAAATTAATGTATGTACAGCAAACTAGCATTCGTACAAGATGACCAAAGAAGGGATAAATATTATAATCCCTTAAATATTGTATATTTAAAAGTATCTAAATATATAATATTCAATATAAAATTGATTGAATCCCCTCTTGAACCCAAGTTCATAATATACAACTAGGATTAGATTGGGTTTACAAAATTTTATAATAGGTTTCAGGTTTGGTTTGGGCTCAGAATAATTTTTCAATAACTCGGGTCGCTACTCTGGGTTTAGGTTCGGTTTACAAGCCTGCTTTTCTGCCAATTTGCTTTATATTCTTTAGTGAATTTTGGTGATTAAAGTGGCCATGCAAGTCGCTTTCGAGATCATTTAATACATCACAAACTTTTGAAAAAAACATCAATTAACTTAAGGCTGGTTATTATTATGTAAACTCAAAAACACTTTATTTGCGAAATCCCTTCTTCTATTTTAGAAATTATATTAGGACTGGAAGTAACGGTATAAATAATATTTTTATTATATTCAGGCTCGTCTACTGAAAAACCTACCCCATTCACTACTCAAACAGCGAATAGTAGCGATTCTTTATTAAACAAGATTAAACAAGCTTTATTCGGTTGATTTTTTAAGTTCAAGTTTAAAAAAACAATTTGATTTTTAAAATATTTATTTATGCATTATATAAAAATGTTGCTTTCAACTTGAATTTCAGTTAGAATTAGGATTTCGAACCGAACCCTAAATTGTGAACCCGGTTTAATGGGCCTCTTCATTGAATTCTTTATTATCCCAAACTGAATAAGTTTTTTTTAAATTTCGGGTTCATGCTAATTATTTAACTTAAAAATATTTGAACTCCTTTTTATTAATATCTTTTAGGGGAGACCGGGGCACATTGTACACTATTTTGTAAATACCCTCCTAAAATCTATAAATATTACTGAAATGATGCCTTATTGGCACTCACTTCTCTATCTAATATATATATATGTTAATTTTAAAAAAATTAAATAAATTTGTATTTTACGCAGTACGATTTGAAACCAAATAAGGTTAATTCCATCCATACCAAATCGATAACTTTTGGCACGGCCTTTTTAATTTTGGTATAATTTTACATACTGAGAGAACATCATTAGAAAGCATCGAATCTAAAATTTTAGCCTTCATTTACTAATTTACGATTTCAAAAATATGAGATTAGTTTAAAAATAATTATGTTAAAAAATAAAAGTTATATGTCATTTTGTAACTCTATTAAAAGCATTTTTTAAGAAATTAAAGTTTCTAAGATCAAGAATGTAATATTTTTTTGCTCGATAAAATCGTGACTTTAAATGATAATTTCCATAAATCATGTTTTTAAAAAGGTAAAAACTTTAGACCTCAAAACATATTTATTTATATCATTTAAAAAATTAATTGCATATTTTAAAATATCCATATATTTTATTCATTTGTCAAAAATATAACAAAAAACTTTAGACCGCTAAACATAAAAAATAGCAATATATTATTTAAATTTTATTTTAAAAATTAAACCATTTAGCACCAAAAAATATTTAAAGAATTAATTTGTACCTTAAGATTTTTCATTTAAATAAAAACTTTAAAAAAAATTAAATTGTATATCAAGAATAAAAATTAGAATTTTAAAATTTCCATTTTTTCAAAAAGATATTTGCACTATCGTGAAAAACAATGAATAATTTTATTATATCTTTGTAATTAATTTCGTCAATTTATATATCTTTTACAAATCAATATAAATACATCAATTAATCATAATACACAATTAACAAATATATTTGAATAACACTTAATCCTTTTACCAATTGCCTTTATTTTCAAGGTTAATTGATTCTATTACACAATTCTCTCCTTTTTGGGCTCTCGATTTGTATAAATTGTTTTCTTATCTGTTTTGAATAACGGCTACTTGTACTTTCGGTCCCTAATGCGGGTTGATCCTTACTATAGATTTCAATCTTTTCATTTATGATAATGTCTTTGGTTATCGAGTCTCGTATAGGATCAATATCTTTGTCTATCTAGTTTTTTTATAAGATCAATGTCTTTGGTTATCGAATTTTGTATAAGATCAATGTCTTTGGCTATCAAGTTTTTATAGGATCAATTGGCTATCGAGTTTTGTATAGGATCAATTTCATACATTCGTCGTATAGTTTGCATAGTTTCCCCTTCTCTTCTTTCCTCTCTATTTTTAAAATTTAAATCGTCGAACTTATGTTTTAAATGATTAATATTTCTTCTCCATAAACCTAATTTAGTTTCGCTAAAAACGTCATTGGTCCTGTTCTTTTAACATTGATACCTGGTATCCAAATATCTTGATTTTCTCATTTATATTTAAAAAAAACCTAGAAACTGGTATCTGTATGGATGCTAATAAATTGGGTTTATTAATTGTAAGGGTCCATATGGGTTGAAATTTAGCATAATTGAACCTGATGATTGTTTTATGGTTATTTGTGAAGTATTTCGATAATTAAAAACACAATCTTATTTTGTTTTAAAACTCTTAAAAGCTTGTACTAACCGCTCCGCTTCTCCGTTAATTCTTGGGTGGTAAGGGGCACTATACACATTTCTAATTACTTATTGTTTGCAAAATATACTGAATTCTCTACTTTGAAATGGGGGCCCATTATCCCTAACAATAGTATTGAGTTAACCGAAAATAGCAAAAAGTTTTAACAATATTTTTCTTAATCAGTAAAATCATTTATCGATAGTTTTTGTATTTCAGACCATTTACTAAAATTATCTATTATTACTAGATATATATTTCCGTTAATTGGTCCGGCAAAATCAATGAATTCTTCCCCATGGTTTATTTGCGGAGAACCATTTCCTTATGATCGTTTTACCGCTAGGGTTATTTGTTTGACATAATTCGCAATTCTTACCGTGTAATTTGATGTCTTCTAGGGCACCAAACGTTCTATTGAGCCATTAATATTGTTTTAGTATAATCCTGGCCCCATATGTAAAAAAGATAAAATATTTACTTGTATTTTTTTTGGAATTATGGTTCTTGATCCCCATAATACACACCTTGCCTCCGTTAAAGTTCATTTCGGTGCTGGAAAAACGTAGAGTTTCCTCTATTATTTTCGGCCACCCAGTTGTAATGTAACGTGAAACTTTTGATAGTACCGGGTCATTTCTTGTGTGTGATTTTATATCTAACGCTGAAATAAATTGTGGAGCATTCGATAATATTAAATTAATATCTAACTCTTCCCAAGCAGATGGTTTACCGTCAATTGGGAAACGTGAAAGTATATCTGCTTTGCTATTTTTTTCGTTCCTCGAAACTACAATTCAAAATCATAATTTGCTAGTAGTATTGGTCATCTTACTAATCTTGACGACATATCTGTTATTCCTTTATGTGGGTTAAATAACGATATAAGTGGTTTATGATTAGTGGTTAAAAATGATTACCAATTATGCGTTAAAATTTTTTCTGATATTAATTTTTTAAATTTATTTACTGTTTTATTATCTGTCCTCTATGCCACATTTTTCCTTAGAATTATATATAATGGAGTGGCAATATTCGAAAAATTGCTTATAAATTTTTGGTAATAATTAATTATACCGATAAAAGCTTGTATTCTTTAACGTTTTTTAGGTAACGGTGCGTCTAAAATCGCATTGGCATTCTTATTTGTTGTGATTCCCTCTTTTCTAAACACCTAAGAATTCAATCTTTTCTTTTAAAAAAATACATTTTTTTAGATTTAATTTCATACCGTTTATTTCTAACGTTTTTAATACATTTATCAATTTTTTTTTATGAATCTCAATTGATTCCCCAGTAATTATTATATAGTCCAAATATACCGCTACCCTAGGTAGTACTTTTTAAAACGAGTCCATTGCTTGTTGAAAAATGGCTGGCGCTGAGGCTACCCCAAACGGAAGTCGTGTGAATCGATACAATCTTGGCGTGTTGACCACTAACAGTTTTTTGTCTCCTCATCTAGTGCTATTTAAAAATACGCTTCTGATAAATCTAATACCGTATATTTTGTATTACCTAATGTGGCTAATAATTCATTAATTCTGGGTATAGGATATTTATCAATCAAAATATTCGTCTTAACCTCGATCACCGCAAATTCGTAAGGATCCATCTTTTTTAGTACAGGCACGATCGGCGAAGCGATATATAGTTTTAGTTTTTCAATAACTCCCATGAATTCCAATCATTGTAATTCCGTTTCTAGTTTTTTATCTTCCACGCAAATATGGTATCTGTCAGCTTTTAAGACATTGAAAATTGGAATTGGGTTTTATCGATAAACTCTCTTTAAACTCTTTCAGTAAAGTAAATATATAATGAAGAAATTATTTTTCAATATTACCCCCCCCCCCCCAAACCTCATTAATTGTATTACATTGATTTATTATTATTCACTTTATATGTTTATTAAATTTCTACCTATCAAATTAATACCATTGTTTACAATTATAAATTTGATATATAATTTTATTATATCATTACTATTATGAGATTTTAAAATAATATACGTTTTTGTTACTGGTATTTTTAAACGGTAAACGTCTTCTATATCAAAATGGAGACTGCCTATCCTATGTCAATTAAAAATTAATTTATATTTTATCTATCAATAATTTCACCTCAAATTTGTCCTACGACTCCTCTGAAGAATCCCAATCCTCAAAACTTTCTCGCCCCTTTTTTGGGGCATCTATCGTTCAAATATATTCTTTCTTACCACGATTCTTTCTGAATACTTTCTGTAAATGTCCTTATATCACAATTATGGGAAATTGCATTTAAATTTGGGCACTTTGGTTTTATGTGGTTTAATCCACAGCAATAACAAATAATCTTTTATGCTGGTTTATAATTGTCATACTTTTCCCTTGTCACTGTTTTTGAAATTTTATTTATCTCAGCTTCTGCAGATAATTTTGTAGAAGGGAATTGCCAAAATAGAGGACAAAAAAGGCGTTTTTATTAGCAAATATTGGATTAGAAGTTTATTCAAAATTATTTACTTCGTGTTTACCGAAGACATTAGCTGTAACATCATACGATGGTATAATTAAACTTTTATAAAATTATTATTCTAAGAAATCTAATTTTTAGCTGGAGGGATATTATTTTTCCAAAACGGAACAAGGAAAAGGATAAACTATGACAGAATATTTAAATAAATTAAAGATATAAGCAAACGCGTGTGATTTTAAAGAATAAATTCGGTGATTACGAATAAAAAAATATTAATGAAATGGCTATTCAAATCGCCATCAATGGATACGACGGAAATGATAACGTATAAAAAATTATCTGCAGGAAATGAGATAAATAAAATTTCAAAAGCTGTGACAAGGGAGTTTTATAAAATCCTGATAAAATTATATGACAACTGTATTGTGATCTATCAGATTATATCCACGGGGGGGGGGGGCATATTTCAAGATTTAGTACATTTTAGTGCTTAAACTCGTTTGGTAGACAGTATTGTTTTCAAACGAAAATTATAGAAGCTTTGAATATATGAGTTAATCCTATACGTAATGTCTGATTAGGGTCATTCTATGACAAATCAACCACTATTCGGCCGACCCCCTT